AGATTAATATGAATTCATTTTTATTTGAATAATTACCACCCTAAAATTTTGTTTAGCCCCTCATTCAGTACATTTTTGTTCATAGTTAAATTTTTTTAGAATATATGTTATGTACCAGAAACATAATAGGCTATATCCAGCTGTATAAGTTTATCACGCTACCCTACGCCTATAAGCACATAAATCACATAATAACAAAGTGTGTCATAGTATGATCTACTTGAATTGTAAAATTAAAATATTTTAGAAGTAGAAATTACGTAGTATAATAGTATATATTTGAAAGCTATTGCAGGAGTTGAATTTGGAATTATTTTTAATTTTGTACCATGGTTTCTTTCTGCCGAGCGTCTCAATAGCTACCATAAACAGTATTTTTAATCAATGATAATAATATTTTATGGTCTTAAAAATAGCTACTAGATTATTAATATATTTTAGATGGTAGATTACAAACACTCATTTAAAGTACGTATATTATAAATAAAATAATACTTTCGTACGTGTAACATGTGATTCCTATTATAACAGCGAGGGAATACGTTATGTTGTTTAGTTCTAACTAAAACCTAACCTACATATWAAGTTCATAAGATCCGCTGAGCGTAACTGAATACTACTATACTATTAATATACTAAGTGTAGCAGTATTAAAATTTAAAATTTATAATAATATGGCTCATATAAGTAACTAATTCATATTTCTAATATAGGTACTTACCTTAACGTTACAGCTAATTTTTCCGCTGCTGAAATAGGCTCTTTAACTCTATTGCACGGATTTGATTTTATGCAGGGGCGGACTGAGTTAATATTTCAGGCCGGGAATTTTTTTTTGCCAGGCCAAAAATTAATAGAGGACCAACGATTTGGTCATAAACTCATAAGTGTGCAAAATAAAAAAWAATAATAATAATGATAAAAAAAACTTTATTAATTGAAAATTATTTTCAAAATTTTATGTAAGATATATGAAACCACACATAATATATGTGAATTCGATTCAGAAGCAAAAGCCAAACAAACTGAACAAAATAGTTGTTTTGATGATTCATCAAATGTTAGCCATACACGATTTGTTCCGTTTTCTCGAAGAAAAATCTTATTTGAATTGAATGGGAGGCTGGGATCTTTTGGTTGACAAGGGTGGTACTTGAAGAAATGAGATAAAACAGTYGAACTTGGCTTTATAAACTTATTAAATACTACTGGAGGACTTTCAGATGTCGAACATAGAACTTCTAAAAAAAAAGTACAAATTTCATATAATCATATCGAGTTCATGAAATAAGAAACGTTATGGCTTAATGTGTTGATTAATTATTATAAATAAAAATAACATTGAAAATGCTTCTGATATTGGATATATAAATAAATTACTTAAGGTATAATATAAAAACTAATACACTTAAGTGCAACAACCAGATAAATCCATGCTCCCCTCAACTTTGACAAACAAATAGTATCCCCARATTTTTTTTTTATTCAAAGTTTACAATATTRTGAATAATTATACAAATAATAATAAACAAACTAGAACAAAATTATTTTTAACAAGTATTTAGTCACTAAAAAGAATTTTCTTTGCCCGGGACAATTTCAAAAAGTGGATTTAAAATTAAAGTAATTCCCACCATATTACGYCGCTACGATGGGTTAATATTAGGTACATACTAATTTAGCTTACACATGTATTTGTTAGTATTTATTTTTGTTATTAAAATGTATCACTCGTATGATGACCATGGTGGTAGTTACTTACCAGAATTAGAATCAACTACGTCATCATTTTCAGACATTGATATGTTTTCAGTATTTTCATGGAAGGAAGTATCTATCAATATTTTCAAAGACAATCATATAAAAATCATAAATAGGAAAAAGGAAAAAGGAAAAAGAAACTAATAAACAATTTTAAATTATTTAAATTTACTACATAATACATAATATATTATGCATACCTGAGCTTAGTTCTTCAGTTTTAACGGGATTTTCACTATTTTGTTTTTCATAATATGCTGAATTAAAAAATAAATTAAGTTTTTTACAATTCTTGCTTGATTCTAAAAGAAGTTTTTTATTTTTTTCACGTTCTCTAGCAGCACCACCAGCACGCTTTTTATTCTCTGAATTCATTTTAAATAATATTTAATAAATTCAAAACACCTTTGTGGAAGACTTTAATGTATAATGTTTCTATAACATTATAGTATAAGTACAGACAATACAGTAAACTATAATATTGTATAATTTAACGTAAACAAAATAAAATACGGAGACAACCTATTTACATTACATTACAGCAATGTTTTTGCTATCTGCGGACTGCGATTAGTGCGAGTATCAGCGCTCTGTGTGCCGTGTGGCGGCGACGCGCCGACATGACGCGCGACGGCGGTACTAGTATAAATATAAATACCTATATAATAATATAATAGTTTAWAATTTATAAATAAATCACTAAACAAGCTGTTCGGCTTATCGCTTATATTATATATTTATATCTGTATGTATATTTCGTACATGGGTACAGACTACATACGGTACATCGTATAAATTGTTATTGATTAGTATAATATTTAAAATCACATGAGCTGATATGGTAATACCTACCATATGTATTATRTTTATTATATTTTTATGTTTATTCGTATACTATATTTTTAATTTCTAAAATATTATCAGGCCATTTAATCTATTATTGTACCAGGCCACCGGGATTTGTCCCGGTGTCCCGCCAGGCCAGTCCGCCCCTGATTTTATGTCATCTTCGATTAAATTTAAAACATAATTAAATTGCTCCCAACTGAGTCTAAAAAATGCACGGAATTTTTTTTCATCCCTAAACAAATGCTTCTCGATTTAAACACTAAAAAATCCTTCTTCTTTTCTTTTTCGAAACATATCATGCACATTTTTTGATGAAACTTGATCAATTAGCATTTCTTCTTCTTCGATTTTTTCCAATAACATATTTATCAACACTTTTTAGGGTTCCGTACTTCAAAAGAAAAAAACGGAACCCTTATAACATCACTTTGTTGTCCGTCCGTC